CTTCAAACTCAGGTCAGGTTGTGAGGCATGGGCAGGAATGAGAAGGTCTCTCTACCCCTCCTTTTCAGATGTGCCCTTCTAGAAGACAGGCTCAAATCCTTCGCATTCAATAATTAGCTAAGAAAGGAAGCTAAAGCTTTGTTTCTGATAAATTAAAAGTAATCAGCACTCTAAGGACAGGCAAAGGTGAATGGAGTGAGGCAGGGGTAGAGATATGGGGCAGGACACTTGCAAAAGTTTCCATGTAAACTAATTACACACATCAGAATTGTAACTAAAAGTGAGAACTGACTCCATATGAACAGTCCCAGGAAAAATACCACTTCCTCCATTCTAAAAGAAACAAAGTAATTATGAGTTAAAAGTCAAAGGCACTCTATTTTTTCCCAAATTATGTGTTTACTCAAATGGAGCGTATAAGGTACAGTGAGAAACATATTGTATAAATTATGCATTCTGCCTAAACTTTACATAATATGCACAAAGCATTTTCATTTTAGAGCTGTTACATGGTGTAAACTATAAAACAAGACCAACACCCATGTCTACTGTCTCAGCACAGGCAGTAGGCAGCATTAATGTGCTTTAATCCCAGCACTTGCTGCATGTCAGGCACTGTGTTGATGCTGGAGAAGCCATGTACATAGGACAGAGAAACTGTGGCCTGTAGGATGCTTACCTATCCAGATGTTCCTCCTCCCACAGGATTGACTGACCTAAGGTAAATATCAGCTTCCAGCATACTAGTCTTACACATCTAAGCCTACCAAGATGAAAAAAGTCACAAAAATACAAAAGCATTTTTAAAACTTTGTACAGTTTTTGAAATGGCTAATCCTAGCGTTTGCAACTGAATTAATGCCTACAAGTTTGAGATGTAAGAGAGAAATCAGATTTCTATTTTAGGTAATAAAAAATTTGTGAAAATGATGGTTACACAGCATTGTGAAAGTAATTAGTGGCACTGGATTGCACATTTTAACATAACCTAAACATTAAAAACATGTAGGTGTGTATATATGTAACTATACGTGTATATTTTATGTATGTGTTTATATATCATAATCTTTATATATTAACACAAAAGATGTTAGCAAAGTTTTCATTTATTTTTGGAGAGAAGTATTTTTTTTAATTTTTGTTTTTGTTTTTTGTTTTTTGTCTTTTTGAGACAGGGTCTCCCTGTGGCCCCAGCTGTCCTGGATTCACCACGGAGAACAGGCTGGCCTTGAACTCACAGAGATCCACCTGCCTCTGCCTCCCAAGTGCTGGGATTAAAGGCATGCGCCACCACGCCCAGCGAGAAGTATTTTTAATGTAGCAAAGTTTTTATTTATTTTTGGAGAGAAATATGTTTAATGTCTTGTCTTAGGCATCTTAAATAAATTGTCAATTTGAATTGATCTAGGAAATCTAAACTTCTGGGACCTGTTTCTTTCATATGCCAGGAAAGAAAGTAACCAAATCAAGATTCATTATTTGCATGATCTGCAGTTGTTTCAAAGGGACAAACTTGTATTCACTGTACATTTCCTTTTTTATTACCTGATTTCATTGAGTACGTACTTAGAAAAAATTACACTTCTAATAGAAATAAAAACAATAGGTACCATTCTAGAGCTGAATTTCGAATATCCTTTTTTCAAGCATTTTTGTCCCATTTAAAATATTTCCTCTGAAGCACATGGCAAATTCAACCATAGCTGTTCTGTCGCACCAGTGCTTTCATTTGGTAAAGGTGAATTATGTCCTCTAGATTCCACCACAGAGCCTGTAAAATAATGAGGCCCCACTGGTTCAGTGCACCCCTGTCAGTGTTCTCATCATGCCCTGCTGTTTCCCCTGAAGTAAGCTCTGGGCTTGGAAAGGCATCAAATCTCTCAAGTCACTATCATTGACCCTTTCTAATAAAAACAATAATTTCATACTTATAAACTGCAATTCAAAAAAGTTAAGTCCCCCACTGAGCAGCTTTAATTTCCTAAATTAGCTTTATATTTTGAGTTATCAGCTTCATTTAAGAACAAGTTCCTCAGTAGTATATTTAAATATTTGTGTGAACATTCACTAGAAAACAAGAGAAAAATAAAACCATGCAGCTTTGTTTTATTTATTCTTTTATTTTCCAAAGAAGAGAAACAAGAAGTATTCATGCTGATGATCAAGGTTTAATTTTATATTTTGCATTTGTATTTCTATGTGGCTACCCTGTTGATCAATACCCTTTCGATTGAAGCATGAATTTCTATCTGGCTCAGGTTTTAAAATTCCATGATCAGGTCCAAGGCTCACTGCTCTAGGCCACACTGTGCAGTCTATCCTCGGTTCTCTTGACTCCTTTTCTGATGCCTTTGTCCCTTTACTTTCTACTTTCTTGCTTAGTGTGTCTTCTGGCTGATCCCTGTGATGAAAACCTGTGACACGGACCAAATAGCTAGAGTAAGTTCAGTGTCCTCATGAGGTAGGCACAGTGAACCAAGTTGTAGTAGAACTTGTGCAGAGGAACCCAGGGATCTTCTGACTTGCTAGCCAGGTTTCATTCTTCTGTGTCTTCCTGTTCTGAAGCAGGCCAGTCCCTCTAGCAATGCTCAGTGCTATATAATCTTCAGTGTATGTCTTTTGAAAGCAAACTGAATCCACCATCAAGGCCATGCTGGGGTTTAGTTCAATGCACATTGATGGGTGGCCATCATTAAATGTATGGTTCCTCATTCCTAGAGTTCTCTGAATTTCAGTCAGTGACTTCTTTATGGAAGGCTCGCTCCTTCCATGAAGAAATCACAATCCTAGAATCATATATATCTGAAAGACTGTTCAATATTAAACTACATAAATCTTCCTCTACTCACAATGAAACACTACAAAACAGTTTGCAGAAAATATTAGAAGTATGTACCTTTTATACAAGAGCCTTGATCTTTGCTCTAGCTCTGTAATTTATGAAACTTTCAGACCTTAGATTCATCCTGGAACAACTTATAATTGCAGTAAACCACACACATTTCCAAGTCTCCTTTATGATGCATGTAACATTGGCTATATTTATATTTTGTTCTCCGTGGCTCAAAAGTAGTATTAGTTAAAACTATGAAAAAGTATAAATGTGAAAACTCTCCTCACTTTTGGGAAGAATTATATCTGAGATACATTGAGCAAAAGCTATACATTAGAAAACTAGCAGTTAGTATCGTGTGCTATACTGTTCCGTAGTCTACTGTTCCAAGTGCTTCACGCACATTAGGTCTACTAAATGATAGTTTCCGTATCCTTAATTCACCTGGATATTGGAGCTTAAGGGTTGCACAGCTTGTCCAACTAATGAGCTAGTCATGGACAAATTGAGGTTAGACTAAGGTCTGTATTGCACGAAGGCCCTTGTTCTAACTACTGCAATACCCTTTGTCTCTGTGAATTCAGGCATTAGTTGTAACTTTGAACTGAACAACTTGGACAAATCATGAAACTGAGACTGCTCAGCAATGTGCCACATTGCTTTATAAACTCACAGCCCAGCATGGCATAAGGCCCAGATCCCAAGTGTGCCCCACCCCCAGACACTAGGCATCAGTGTGCCCTATGGTCATTGATAAGTGTGTTTAGTCAATAGCGTCTTTTCATTCTATGAAAAAGAAGACTAGATACATTTCAATAGAACTTTGATGCAGCCACTGGGATACTGGGCAGGGTAGAATAGGAGGGAAATTTAAATTTCTTGTATTGAGATTCTCTTGTTCTAAATACAAAGATGATGAATGGAATATAAAGGACTGCTTAATGAATTGCATTTGCGGTTCATTATAACTAGGTATTTAATGAAGTTATTCTTCTTGCATTGTTGAAAGTGGGAACATTAACAGCTGTGTTACACTTTTCAGTTTTTTAGGATTGGGATTCACTTACAAATGAAATGGTATACCGAATTTTAAATATCAATTCTGATTTCAGTATCATAAAAAATACAAGTACAGAATCTGATTTTGGACTTTTTAATTTTAAGTCAGAATACGTGTATGTGTGTCATTAAATAATTTTTGAGATCTGTGTCAAAGCAAATGTTTACTCTTCCTGGTGATTTGTACATCTTAAAAGATTCATGGCCAGGGATCCTTCAGTGTTTGCTACCCTCAAGCTGCAAGTACTGCAGACCTGTACAAAAGCCAGCTTTTGAATTTTAGAAATGGCATGTAGACAAGTTCCATGTGTCCTGAAGTTCTTATGCTGCTTTTTCCATTTACTGTCATCTTGCACATCCTCAAGAGAATATGTCAAGGTCAAAACATAAAGTGCTAACCAGGGGGAAAGCCCAGGGAAAGCCAAGATCTGAAAATAACAGCTGGCTCTCTAAAAGCGATATCCCTGCTGACTTGGCAAACTTGGAATATTGTGGTGCTATGTGCAAAGCAATAAAGTCTCTGGGGGATGAAGGCAGGAAAACCAAAGGGCAAGAACCATAAAGGTGATTAAGGTGGAAGTGATAAATATAAAATGAGAGAGAGAGAGAGAGAGAGAGAGAGAGAGAGAATATTTAAAGGGAGTAAAGACAATTATTTGGAGAATCAGAAAATAAATAAAATTTTCAATATACTCTAAGCTTTCAAATTTTGAAGAATGTGTTTCAAAACTTTCTGGAGTTTGTCAACAGCATTCACTAAAATTACCTTTCTGATGCCTAGTCTTGGCTGAAACCTAATATATGCATATTTATGCAATGCTCCACAGTGGCATGCTACAGACTACTTTTGAATGAAGGCTACAGATGCTAAAGCACTGCATGCTTCAACCATAATGCTAACACTATAATGAAAGTAAATCGTGTGTCTTTATACTTTTTAAGTATATTTCAGACTTATTGTATTAGCAGATCCAAATGGGCTTATTTTACCGTAAAAGATACTGGTGTATATTGATGGTCACGGAACTGTCACTTCTCTTGACCTTGAAAGATCATTGACAATTATTTCTGTTTCTTCTTCTTCTTCTTTTTTTTTTCCCCATCATAGCTGAAAATGGCCCCCGTCTACTTGTGGAAGCAGAACAAGCCAAGGTGTTTTCACACAGAGGTAGCAATGTGACACTGCCATGTAAATTTTATCGAGACCCCACAGCATTTGGCTCAGGAATCCACAAAATCCGAATTAAGTGGACCAAGCTAACTTCAGATTACCTCAGGGAAGTGGACGTTTTCGTTTCCATGGGCTACCACAAGAAAGCCTATGGAGGCTATCAGGGTCGAGTGTTTCTGAAAGGAGGCAGTGACAATGATGCTTCCCTGGTCATCACACACCTCACGCTGGAAGATTACGGGAGATACAAGTGTGAGGTGATTGAAGGACTAGAGGATGACACTGCTGTGGTGGCATTAGAGTTGCAAGGTAGGTATCTATGAAGTATGTTAAACTTTGAAGTGTTAATCACTACTTCCTTCCTGTGGTGAGTAATGTGTAGTGGTTACCATAGTAATAACTACAAAGCCCATGCCCAGCGTGTTTTTTATTCTTTTATGTTTTGCAGTCTGCATATAATTTCAGCTTTCACATTTGAAAGGTATGCAAAATGCTTATGTGCAAAATTGAAGTTATTTGCAACCAGAGAAATGTGCAATGGAACTGAATTAATAATTCTCAGAAATTGCCTTATGCTATTCAAAACTGGTTATTGAGAAATTCAAATTAGGTTCTTTTTTTATTATGCGCCTAAAATTTTCTCAGTTTCAAACTAATGTTAAATTCTTTAAAGGACTTCATCTGTAATACAATGCATGTAATTGTGTTCTGTAAAATGACTAAAGAAGTTAATTTAACAGAAAAGTAACCTCTGGATATACTTAAATATCTTGAAAAAAAGTAATTTTTTAATGACCCAGAGTCTTTTCAGACATTGAGTACCAAATAATCAAGGCAGTAGAGGAGAGTTTTACTCTTGAATATACAACACATTAAATAGGTTCAAAAACCACTGCACAAAACGGTACAAGAAAAAGTGTCTTAGCCATCTTCATCTTGCTTCTTCTCAATAAATACTCTGAAGAAATTTCTGTCCTTAGTTTCTTACACATCACAAGCCATCTTACTATTCCTGCGTTTCAGCAGGGTTCTGCATTGAAGAACAAATCTGACTGCATTGATTGAATATTTTCTTTTCACAAAATCATTGGTCTGTGTTTTCTAGAACTTCTTCTCCCATCCTACAGCAGATTTGTAGCTTTTGAAAAAATTGGAACACTGAACATTGTGACCCTCCTGAATCCCATAAAATTCCATCATGCATGTTGAGATTTCTCAGCTCCATCTGCCTGATAAACTACACAGTGTTAAGTACATTGATAGGAACTTCCCTGGTCTTTCTTTGTTATGGTTCTTGACTCCTAATTGTGTGCATGCTACCCTGTGCATTCAGTTCTTATAGACCCACATTAATATCCATAAATATCAGCATTTCATAAGATGTATGAACTAATTTGATACACAAGATGGTCACCAAATATTGAAATCTGATTTCCTTTATCAAAGAGGCAGTGATAGGCTGTATGTGGTAACTGTAAGGTCAGTCTTTGTCAGAAGTAGTCAGCCATTCCTCTCAGACTGCTACGTGTACACTTTGCTATGCCTTGATTATCTTTCCCAGATATTGAGAAAATTCTCTCACCTATTGATCAAGGTTCTTCAAATTTTGTCCTTATGTTTTTTATTTTTATTCCTGTAACTATCTTTAAAACATGAGTAATTTCATTTAAAAATGAAAATCCATCTTTGCTAGAATAAAGACTTGTGATCACTACCAGTGAGCCACAATGCTAGAAATTTCGTTATTGAGAAATAATCACTGTAGATGCATAATGAAGATAATGTCAGTATAAATTCTGTAGCTTGGGCTCCAAAATTCACCTCAGCTATGAATAAATATGCAAATAATGTCACAAAAGCAAGAAATTTGTTATTCTAATCTTCTACTGTGTTACTTTTCTAATGGTGAAATTGGGGCCAAATACATGAAATTATAGTCTGAGAACTTTCAGGCACAGATGTTTCCAAGTATGTACAGAGCATTGTTTAGGTGTTGTGACAGGCACTTAGGAAGATAAATTATGTACATTACTACTGTATTGTTTTCTGCCTTTATTACCAAAGCTATTTACTTTTATGTATGCTAGGATTTGAAAATCTGTCATATGCCTAACAAATTTTTTGCCAACAAACAGAATTCACTGGGCTG